CGAGGGGATCGTCGTCGTCGCTGCTCGTCGCCGGTCGACGCGACCTTCGAAAGTCGCTCCGGAATCTTCACGCGATGCCTTCTCTCATGCCCTCGCGCCGGCCGAAGTCGACGATATTGGCGATAATGAGCGTTAATTACGCGCGAGCTGAGCCGCACGTAAGATGTGTCGTTCGAAAGTCATCACGCGAGTCTCGTGAAACAGACGGCCGCGCGCGCGGATCTTAATTTCGGCGTCGGCCTTAATTTCGGGGACAGATCGCCCGGCTGATTATTCCAAGTCGAATCGCGCGTCGAATCTCCCAACTTCCGAATTCGCCGCGATAAATGGCCCGACCTCGGCTCGCCGTGTTACGCGTCACAGTATTCGCTTCTACCATTGTTAAATCCCTCGGATTATATCTTTCCCGTGGGAGAAGCGGGATAATTTCAGAATGCGAATAATTAACCCTAGCGGGAGCAAGAAGGGAGCGCGAAATGCGCTCAACTATTTGTACCGCGCGATAAACTAGATACATATCCGCTGTAACTCTTGCTTATGATTCCTCCTCCCCTACCCCCTTCCGCCGTCTCTCATTCTCTCTCTCTCTCTCTCTCTCTCTCTCTCTCTCTCTCTCTCTCTCTCTCTCTCTCCGCCGCAAGACCCTCCCTCGTTTCGACACCGGTAAATCAGAGCGTTAGTGCGTTATTAGCTCGCAGCCTTGCTGATGTTAAAACCGTGCCGTAAAAAAAATAAAAAAGAAGAAAGAAAAGAGGAAAGGGGAAAAAATCGGCGATTATTCAGCGGAGAGGAAGAAGAGCAGGGCGGGGACTTTCTACGACGACGAGGTGAAATTCCAGTCGGCCGGAAAGCACCGGTCGCGCTATCACGGCGACGTCGTCGGCAAGGCGAGCGATGCTTATCATTCAGCGTCGATCGCGTCATCGATTTTCGCTGTCGCGATCGCGTCGTCGTGTCGCGTCACGTCGCCGCACGTTCCGCTAGAACTGCTGAATAATGCAGGCGAGAATTCGAAAGGTTCCACCAAAAGGGACCTCCTTGTCTCTTTTTTGCTTTTCTCTCCCTCTCTCTTTCTCCCTCTATTTCTCAAGAGACAGTTTTGAAGAAAGTGCCACGGGGTGCTGCTGGACAAACGTTTGTCTGCCGAGCTCGATGTCGGCGAGAGAGAGAGAGAAAGAGAGAGAGAGAGAGAGAGAGAGAGAGGGAGAGAGAGAGAGGGAGAGAGAGAGAGAGGGAGAGAGAGAGAGAGAGAGGGAGAGAGAGAGAGAGAAAGAAAAATAAACAGTAGACTGAATAAATTCCTGCGGCGATAACTGCAAGAGGAAACAATCGAAACGTCTCGGATGCAGGAGAGACGTGACGGAAGAATCGGCGTCCCTCATCTGCGAGATCTCAATCTTTCTCTCTTTATCTCTCCGTTTTCGACTCCCGCCAAAGGGCCTCCCTCGATCCGCGCGAGCATACCACAGGAAGGGATGCTGGGGAAACCCGGCGAGAAATGTACAGGAGCGCCGCCCCAATGTGAGCCGTGAGCCTTGAAACTGATCTCCTTTTTATCGGGGGAAAAATCGGCTGTCGTTTACGAGGAGATTTACGTGTCGCGAAAAAGGATGCGAGAAGCGTCGATTCGCTCGCTTCCAGTTTGTCTTCTGCTTCTTCTGCGGTCATAACGGACATTCGACACTCCTCAGACATCCTGTATACGGACCTAAAAGTCTGCGGCTTCGCACAAGTGTGCGGATACATGGGACCTGCGGCTTCGGGGATGTACGCGTAACCGAGGATCCGTGGGACCGGAGATGCGCGTACGCGATGCAGTCTGCGAGGAAAACTGACGGGACCAAGAGCCAACGCGCGCGATTCCACCGCGGCACCGCGAGCTCGCTGGAAATGAGAATCGGTGCGCGACCAGGGCGCACATGTTCGCGTCCCGGGATGAAAGAAATTCATCTGCTCTCTCTCGCCCTCCCCCCTCATCCTCCTTCACCGTGCTAGCCACAAAGGACCCTCCTCCGGATCCGACATCGTCATCAAGAACTACTCGTCAACTACCGCGCGACGACGGTCCACCGGGGTTGTCCCGCGGATCTACGGTATCGAGGATCCCTGAAAACCGAGTGTACTGTCCATCCTTGAAGAATACCGACGACGTCCTCTATCGTCCCGGGCATACTGAATAATGGACGAGCCAGGACTGGCAATGGAGAGGGACGACGTCTTCGGGTTTTCGAGGGGCCCGAAAACTCCGCCAGAACGTAGATGCTAATGCGGCCCTAAGCAAACGGATTTCTTCTTCTTTTCTCTCTCTTCCCCTCCCCCCCCCCTCTCTATCACTCTCTTTCTCTCTCTCTATACCTGAGTCGCGCTCATTGCAGGTGGATGGAAACACGCCTGACGTGTACGAGCGACGACCATTTCAACTGTCCCTCTTCCCTCCGTCCATCCGTCAGGTCCGACGCGCGCGTGTGTGTGTGTGTGTCTGTGTGTTGCGTATAACGCGTGTAAGTGTGTGAGCACGACGTGTGTTTATTCGGTGCCCGTCCGTCCGGCCACCCGCTCACCGTCGCAACGAACACGGCACGTACGATCGTTGTCGGCGACGGTATACAGGGTGTCTCGCAACTCGACTCGTTTCTTCGAATCGCGAGTACTGGAAGAAGCAAGTAGAGAGAGAGGAGCAACGTGAGGAGAAAGAGAGAGAGAGAGAGAGAGAGAGAGAGAGAGAGAGAGAGAGAGAGAGAGAAAGAGGGAGGAGAAGGAGGAAGGATAAGAGGGACGGGCGCTGCTCTTCACCTTCCCTGAGTCACGAACGGTTGTAGCTTAGAGGCTTGACTTTGAGGAATCAGGTTTCGGCAAATACATTACGAAGCGTTTTAACCACTCTCGAGTGGACGTCGGAAATTTGGAAGACTTTAGTTCAACATGGGAATCGTCGTCCCGCGAGAATCGCTCGTGTTTGCAAAATGAAATTTCGTATTCGAAAAAAGAATTCTTCGTTTTTATTCTCTCCTTTTTATATATGTATATATACACACACACACACACTCACTCACTCACACACACACTCACACACACACACACACACATATATATTATATCTAAAAGTTGCATGTTTACACAAACAAAAATATACACAACGATATGTACATGTGAATATATACATAAAAATACAAAAATACATAAATAAACGTCGTGCGGTGAAATGTTTTCTAATTGTATGATTGGAATCGTCCGGCGATTGTATCAGATTAGGATCCGTTCTCTCTCTGACATGTGCGACGCCGAATTGTGTTCCCGATGTTTCCTTCCACCCGATTCGTAGAAATTCCGCGTACGACACAGATTTACAGCGTTCTACGATGTTACTACTACTCGTTGTCGCAGAATCAATATGTAAAAAAATTGATTTGCAAGATCGGTTGGAACGAGACGCGACGTCGGGACAGACAGACGACAGACAGACAGACAGACAGACAGACAGACAGACAGACAGACAGACAGACGGACTCTCGATGTGAAGCGGCGCGCGCGCGTCACACTGCCGTAATTCAGCGTAAACTGCAATCAGTGCTAAAATGCTTCTTTCTCTAGACAGGAGGCAGCACAGAGAGAAGTTTGCGCAGGAGTTGTCGCAGGATACGCGCGCGGAACGCGCGTGCGGAGGAAGAATTAGCGATTCATGCTACGGCGGTACGTAAATTGAGTCGTGCAAGCGTCGAGCAGCCTGCGAGCGTCAAACGAGGCCCCTCGCCTCGTTTGCTTTCGGGACACCCCGTATATGCGCGCGCGGGGAGGAGACAGATGTACCCTATGCCGACTATGCGCGCTATAGACCCACCCGCATGCACTTTTAACGATCGAGATGATAAGTCGCGCGGAACGGGGCGAGAGAGCGCGGCGCGGGTTCTCTCTCTCTCTCTCTCTCTCTCTCTCTCCGCGTTCGGATTAAGGTGGATTCACACCGAGCCGAGTAGCACCGCCCCGGATCAGCGATCCGATATAGCGGCGCGTCTCGGAGGAAGCGTCCGCCATTTATAATGGCGACGACCTTGCACCCCGAGTTCCCGTCGCCGTCGTCGTTATTGTCGCGAATACGCCTGCGAGTTTTCGTCCTCGCCGTTCCGTTCACGCGAGGAAGAACGAGCGGTCCCGCCGTCGAACTCTCTCGACAAGAGCCCAACTGCTGCTCGAGACTGCTGTTCACGCACGCCGTCCATCTACTAGATGTGTTGACGTGGTGTCGCGAGCATAGGAACAAGGATGTCGATGATGAAAGAGGATCGCTCGTAAAAATGACCAAAACGACACGCGTCTACCTTTGGGTTGGGGTCATAGCCCGAGGTTAGGTCAGGTCTGAGTCAGGAAGAAGTCGACCAAAGTCTCTCTTTCTCTCTCTCTCTCTCTCTCTCTCTCATCTCTTTCACTCTCCTCGAATCGTCTAGTCATTTTACATACCACGAATATAATCTCCCTCGGACAGTCTATTTTATGTACTTGGCGTCGTGACACTACCGCGTGATAGACCCGATATCTCAGAGGCCTGTCAAGTTGGAAAGCTCGTCCCTCTTCTACGCGTAGACTATTCCCGTTCGATTTCCGTTAACTGGATGCACCACGCTGGTGCTTCCTGCGCGCGTTGTCTACGCGGTGAGCTTGCGTTAAATCCCGTTTGAATCCCGCCACCTCCATGTGGAAACGTCAACGAGAGACAAGACGACAACCGTCGTCGACCGTGGAACTTCCTCCGCGCGATTTTCCCCTTTGCGAAAGAACCGCGACCTGTGCAACAGCTGCACACACACGTTGGGGAGACGTTCGACGAACCAAGTCAACGAAGAAAGAAACAGTCGCACATCCTGCCGCTAGAATCCGGACAAAGTTACGTTACGGCCCGAGACAGAGAGAGAGAGAGTGAGTGAGAGAGAGTGAGAGAGAGTGAGAGAGAGAGAGAGAGAGAGAGAGAGAGAGAGAGAGAGAGAGAGAGAGAGAGAGAGAGAGAGAGAGAGAGAGAGAGAGAGAGAGACGAAGGACTGAACACGCTCTCGTTGCGAGAGAGTAGCGCGTCCACATCCACGTCCGCGCGATCATGCGCCGTCTTTGACACACGTAAAGCGTGGTGCTCGAGGTCGACACGTGGATGCGAACGCGTCGAAAGCGCGGCGCGGAGCAGCGACAACCTCGCGACTCGCGGCCGGCGAGACGTATCGTTTCGCCGGGTCTAATTAGTCAAAGCTCGGCCGTCACTCAACGACACACAGCCGTCTCCGTCAGCTGGCTGCCATTAGCAGCCACCGGCGCGAGATAACATTGCGCGTGCGGCAGCCGCACGAATAATGAGAGTGTGTGTGTGTGTGTGTATGTGTGTGTGTGTCTCGCTCGATTCTCGCCGCAGAGACACGCGGCGACCGCGCCCCGCGACCTGCTCGCTCTCATTGAATCGTCTCATCGATTTCTCCGAAGCGTTTCATAATGAACGGAACGGAAGGAGACACCGGGTGTCTCGGAGAGACTAGGGGGCGCGGGGGCGCGGGGGGAGGAGGAGGAGCACGGACGCCGAGGCCTTGTCGGCCGGAGTCGAGAATCGAGGTTCGGGAAGAAGAGAAGCAGTCGGCAAAGGATCTCGGCGATCGTTCGATTCGCGACGACACGCTTGTTGATGACCGATCGTCGTGTTCTCACGCGTGTACGCCCAACAACGCGAAGCAACGACGCGGAGTCGCGAAACCGCCCGAGCTCCCCGCTGTCGTCTAACTCTGGGGCAGGAGGGCGTGATAACCGGGCGTCTCGTAGAAACCGGCCGCTTGGAGAGCGTGCAGGGAGGTTCTGTGTAACGTGCTGGCGTAGACACTGGAGACACCGGTGGCGGTGACGCCGTTGGAAGCACCGAAAATGGACGACGACGAAGAGGAGGAAGATGAGGAGGAGGAGGATGAGGACAATGAGGAAGCCTGCTGGCCGATATGCGAAGCTGCCCGCGACAGGAGGGTCGCCGACGGCCGCCTGTAAGGATGATGGCCGACCGCCGAGACCGCCGTGGCAGCTCCGCGATGATGGCTGCCGCTGGACGAGCTCGAGCTCGTGACCGCGCCGCTGTACGTCTGCTGATAGGTCTGCCGTAAGATACCGGAGATCGACGCGGACGTCGGCGACGTGGCCGACGAAGAGGAGGAACTTCGGTCGCTTTGGTGAGGTTGATGATGAAGCTGATGAGTGGTACGATGCTGCTGCTGCTGCTGCTGCTGTTGCTGCTGCTGTTGCTGCTGTTGCTGCTGCTGCTGTTGCTGCTGCTGCTGCTGCTGGCGGTGCTGATGATTGTGGGCGCGCATGGCGCGGAAGTAATGTTGATAAATACCTGATATGACTGCCTTCTCGTCGGCAGAGATGTGCTCGCTGCCGGAAGCCGTTGGTGTCACGGATCGTTGTTGTTGCGATTGCTGGCTGTGATGCTGCTGATGATGAGCGTGACTGTGATTCCTGTGGTGATGATGATGATGATGATGATGATGACCACCCGGCTGCTGCTGCTGCTGCTGGTGTTGCTGCTGTTGCTGTTGCTGCTGCTGCTGCTGCTGGGGATGATGCCGTCGTTGAGACTGCTGCTGCTGCTGTTGTTGTTGCTGCTGCTGCTGCTGCTGCTGCTGCTGCTGCTGAGACAACGTGGCCGCAGCGTTGAGCGCTGCGCGATACGACGCCGCCATAGCGACAGCCGACATCTGGCCGCTCGTGGAGATGAGACTACTGCCAGAGTCCGCGGTCGCGACCACCGCCGCGGTAACCGAAGACGACGCGACGGACGACGCCGGCGACACGGTGGACGTGGGCACGTTGGAGGACACGAGGTTGTTGCTCGACGGCAAGACGGCCGCGGCGGCCGTCGTCGAGGAGGCGACCGCGACTGCGACCGTCGCAGTGGCGACCGTGACGGCGGCGGCGGCGGCGGCGGCGGCGGCGGCGGTCGCCGCGCTCCTTCTGCCGCTCCTGCGAGACGCCGACATGGATGCGGTCGCCGGCTGCGCCGGCGGCGGCAGATTATTGACGAAGGGGCTTCTCCTCTCGCGCTCGGCGCGTCGATAGTAGCACGGATGGATCATGAGGAGGGGCTCGCCACCGCCGGGCGGCGGCTTCGCCTGGCTCGGCAGCTCGTACTCGACGCTGCAGTCCACGTGAAGCGGCTGCGAGTAGTCCTTGTAGTCCTTGTAGTCCTTGTAGGTAGTGACCGCGGCAGCGGCGGCGGCGGCGGCCGCGGCGGTGGCGGCCGCGGCCGCGGTGGCGGTCGCCGTCGTGTTCGCGTTCACGACGACGTTGTTGATGTTGCCGTTCGCCGACGTGTTGCCGGCAGAAGCGGCGACGGCGACGGCGGCGGCGCTGGCCGTCGCGCTGGCGTCGTCGAGGCCGGCGGTGGACGCCGCCGGCAGGACCGTCTGACCGGTCGCGTCGCCGGACGACGTTCCCAATCCGCCGGCGTGATGATGATGATGATGGTGATGGTGGTGGTGGTGGTGGTGATGATGCCCGTGTCCGTGCATGGCGGCACCTACCACCACTTCCTTCTCGTAGCAGGCGGCGGCCATGTTGTCGGGTGCCTCCTCCTCCTCCTCCTCCTCCTCCTCCCCCTCCTCCTCCTCCTACTACTACTACTATCCAGGCTTCCGCCGGCGCGCCGCCGTCCTACCTTGCACGCCCGACGCTGACGACCCACGATGACCCACGATGTCGAACGCTAGGCCCTCATGATGCGGGACGATCGCGATGGGACTCGCCGGCGCGGGTCCGCCCGTCCTCGTCTCCTCGCCCGGTATCCCGATGTCGCCCCGTGATGTTGCCGAAGCGTGACTGCTCGCTCGGTCCACGCACGGTGAGCACGAACTCGCTTCCCGTAGGCAGGGGTTACGCTGGGGACACGCACGCTGCCGGTGACGGTGACGATGATTGCGATTGCGATTGCGATGGCGATGACGAAGACGAAGACGATGACGATGAGGGAGCGTTGCCAGTATGAGCGTTGTCAGTGACAGCCAGCGCGATACTCCCCGACTAGACTCATGCACCGTCGGACGAGCCGGAGGAGAAGGGTGTTCATCTCGCCGCGCGGTAGGATTTTTATATAGCCTTAGCCCAAGGGTTGGACCAAGGGGGTATATCCAACACCGAGGGAAAGCTCTCGAGAGAAGTCCAGCGCGCTCGCGGCAAGCGTTTTACACGTTTTATCGTATGCTTTTCTTTTGGATTTCGTTTTCGAACAAAAAGCTCTCGCTCTAGTATGCCAATTAATACATATATACGGGGGTCTCGATTAATCCCCGGCGTTTGCTCGCTCGTTCAGGACGGTCGGTCTTCTCTCGTCACCGCTCGCTGTCAGGACCACCCGTCCTGCAGCCTCCTTCCTTGCTCCCCTACCTTCTCTCTTTCTCTCTCTCTCTCTCTCTCTCTGTCTCTCTCTCTCTCTCTCTCTCTCTCTCTCTCTCTCTCTCTCTCTCTCTCTCGTTCTCTCTCTGTCTCTCTCTCTCTCTCTCTCTCTCTCTCGTCGCTCCTTCTCTCTTTCTCTCTCTCCCTTTCCTTCCCTTTATATATCTCCCTCGTTCTCTCACTTGGTCCGCCTCACTGACTGATGTCTTCCTCGTCCCTCCTCCTCCGCTCTTCGGCCGTCTCTCACGCGTGCTTCACTTCACTGTCACGAGCTGCTCGAGGGCCCGGGTCGCAACCCGGTCGCCGTTGATGGCCGCTCGGGATCCCCCCCGCGAGTGTCAGCTTCTCGCGAGGCCGTCGTGACGCGGTCGAACGTCCGTGGGAACGTCGTGCGGTAGGAGCGACGATACCGTCAGGATGTCGTCGGGCCCGAGCCGACGTACGACTGACTTGGGCGTAGTAGCGCGTTGGTCGTCTCGCGCGAGCGCTGCGTACGTGCGCGTATGTGCGTGTACGTATGAGGGAGGCGGGTATGTGTATGTACGCCGCCGTGTCTCTATCTCGCACGCATAAGTCCTCGCACGCTTGTTCAGTCTCTCGATCCTCCTCTGTCGTTCGTGCGTGCGTTCGTGCGTGCGTGCGTGCGTACACGTACACGCGCACCTCGTCGAAACCGCGTTGGTCTCTTTGACGTCGCGACGATACCACCCCCGTACGCGTACGTCCGACCTGTCTCGCTCGTACGTGGTGTGTGGTGTGTGTATGCGAGTGAGTGAGTGGGGAGGGGGTGTACGTGTGTGGGTACGTCTCCCTCACGTAGCGTGTATGTGCGCGGTACGTATAGTACGGTTACGTACGTGCGTGCGTGCGCTGCGTGCTGCTGTCAGAATATATCATGTATGTGTCGCTGTCTCTGTGTGTGTACGTGCGTGGTGTGTATGTGTGGGTGTGTGTGTGTGTGTGTATGTGTGTGCACGCGCGAGCGAGCGAGCGCGTGTGTGTATATCCGTGTTACGTGCGGAGTGCAACGCAATGCAAGTGAACTCGGCTCGAACGTCTCGCACGAACAGCCGAGCTGCGACTGAAGGCGAGTTCCTGCGGCGGCTGGCGGCACCCTTGACAAACGCTCCCCTTTAGCAGCGCTGCAGCGCCCGTGGCATGGCAATCGGTTGTCGTGTGGTCGATCGCAGGGTCGGGTTAATGGCGGGTTTACACGCTTTCGAAGCGTGTCCAATTTTTATGTGATTTGCCGAATTGTCCCTGATTATTTGCACTCACTTGTATTGTTCCGTCGAAAAATGCTCAGTTACATAAAGGACCTAAAGGACCTAACGGCTTGAAATGATACCGTTAAAGATGTCGTGCGGAGACCAACGACAGAGATATAACATTCTGTAGGTTCGTGAAATTTCTTTGCTGTGTCATGTCTCGTAAGACCATTTTTTGCCAGTAAGTTTCGCAGTCCCTGGAAAATGTGTCTACTCTGGGAAATGGGAAATAAATCCTCAAGTTAATCGAATATATATATATATATATATATTTCAGGCTGCTTTTTCGATTTCCCGTTCTGCTTTGCGTTCTGCTTTACAGTTGCGTGTTTAAAATTTGAGAGATACGCGAAGAATATGAGAAAAAGGAAATCGTAAGCTGTCCAACTGTCAAATTTTCGCGCGAGTGCACGTAATATCAGACGCAACGCGCTTTTCAATGAAAAGTTGCTCCGTCCGTGAGGGAAAAAAGTGAAACCTTGGCACAAAAGTACCTATGGAGGTACGTCGTGTCTCGAGAGCGTTGGAGTGATTTTACGCAAGTTTGGCGACACTGCGTGTTGGTGTCGCCGCTATCGCCGAGGCACGTGAAAGCATGAATCAAATGCCGCCGAGCGATCGCATCGCGTGAAAAGTAGCTTTCGTCCGACGCGCGAGATTAATGTGAGTCGTGAGCCAACGTTTCCACGCAAAATGCATTATTTAGACGTTTCGCTGTTAGTACATTCATAGTTTCACGTAAGCGCGCCTCATCGTTACCTCGCCACGCAGCATAACCTTGCCCGTGCGATTTACACGTGTTCTCATTTATCGTCGAACGAGCGCGGAGTTGCCTATCTCGCGAATGATGTAACTTTCCGCGCTAAAGGAGACGCTTTGTTTGCGACGTGACAATCGGCGCCTGTGAAACGACGGATCGCGCATTTGTATTCTACACTTGTTGCCACGTAGTCGTGTACGTTCTCGGTGCTCGGTTCGAATTTTACGCCACGATTTGCAAACTTTTCAGTCTTGCTCGGCCCGTGGTAGAGTTGTCGCTCTTTCGTTGTGTGCTACTTTCGCGTCGTGTGCACTCAATGCCGTATTATTATTAGTTCACTTTACCTCGAAGAGGAGACTTTGTGAAAAGATGCGCGGTTGACACCTTACCTTTATCGCGGCTAAATGTCGTTACAAATAACACTGTGCAACAATGAAGGGAGAGGGATTAACGTTGCGATCAGATCCGACTCGTGCCTGCCTTGCAACTCGGAATACGATGAGGATCTAAGTTAAAATCTGTAAAATACATTTTTAATTTAGAATTCCTACTTTCTTTACAGAGACTTGCCAGTGGGATCTGATCAGGAAGTAACTTGTGTATATCTGAAGAAGAACATTCTTCAAGCTGTGCGTCAACTGTTCGGTGAGGAAGGAGCCAAGAGTACAATAGACATCCTGAAATTTACTCCAGCAACACGTAGGTTCATCTTGCGTTGTTTGTCCGAGGACTATGTCCGACTGAGAGCTGCTCTGACTGTTGCCAGCAAGTACGAGGGCCAAACGTGTGTGTACACAGTTCACCGAGCATCGCCAAACTTACTCTCATTTATTGCTGACAGTAGAACATACAAACACTGAATTAGGCTTGTACTCTCAGAGAGGAACACTTACCTGAACTGATTACCATGCCGTTAGTTCACAAAGAAGGCAAAGACACCATAATTTTCGCATCTAAGGAAGATCACGCTGATCCCAGTAATATTGAACTGCCACCAGCTGAACCAAACTCGCTTCTGGTGCTGTCCAATGGCGAAATCAATTGGAACTGTCCGTGTTTGGGCGGCATGGCGACTGGACCCTGCGGTCTGGAGTTCCGCGAGGCTTTCTCCTGCTTCCACTTCTCCACCGCAGAGCCGAAGGGTACCGACTGCTACGAGGCGTTCAAGACGATGCAAGTGTGCATGTCGCAGTACCCAGCGTTGTACGAGAGCAAAGGCTCGATAGACGACTTGGATGACGATGACGACGACGACGACGACGACGACGAGAAGGCAGCGCCGAAACAGTCAGTGTCCGCCGACAGTCAGGACAAGAGGAACGCGGTGACTGCGATTGAAGGCGACGCGAAAATAGACCAGAAGACGGTGGACGTTTCGAGTACAAAGGAAGTGGAGCAGTCTAAGATTAACAGAATGTGACTCTTTTTGCGCGTCTCGTCGCTCCTTGACGATACCGCGGTGTCGGTAGCATTCATCTACACTAGATACATTTCTGGTGCCTAGCTAATGAGACTCGAGATGAGGGAGGGGCTCTCTAACTTAATGAAAGTGCGCGAGATAAACGCGAAATATAGAGGTACGGGCAGGAGCACGTAGTGTATTCTTTCCGTGCGTTGGTCGTCGCTGATTTTCTCTCTCTCTCTCTCTCTCTCTCTCTTTCTCTCTCTCTCTCTCTCTCTCTCTTTGCGAAGTTACGCAGATCGAGACTTAGAGAGGCTACAAATTTGGAACAAATTGATATGTTTGTAAGTTTTGGGTACAATTGCGTAGCTCCTAGTTGTTCGTCTGTTATTAAAAAAAACCTTATTAATCGTGTCGCTTGTCTTCTCCCCGGTGACTTGTTCTCTCCCGACGAGAACTCTCGTTCTCTCTTTGCCTCCCCCCCCCCGTGCACTTTATTTCTTTCACCTACGGTCACGGCGCGAGTAACGGATCGAGCCGTACAAAGCGTGTTCATGCATTAATTTCAGCGACACACGCAGCGTCGCTAAGAATATATGAATAAAACATCGTCGAGTAGGAGGAAAACGTATCTTTACGCGCGGTATAGCGACGAATGTAAATAGTTGCGACGCTCCACTATATCCAGATCGAATCTGAATGATAACAACGCATGAAATTACCGCCGCATAATAGGCTAATTGTTGTATGAACCTCTGCCAAGTTAAACTGCTCAGCTCTCTATTCTTCGTGAGCTTTCACAAGTTCCTTTGTAAGCTATTTTTCGCTTCTTTGTGTGTTTTTTCGTTTCTTTGTAAGTTAGTCTTGTAAGGTCGCGAACATTTACCGTGCGCTCTGCTGCGAAAATTCAGGAATTCTACGGAAAATCAGGTTGATCCGTTTGGTTTATCAGAGGTTCATGTGCAACATAGAGAACCGTCGATAACGTTAATGCTTTCTAATTATAAAGTCTTGTAGTCGTAAGAGCACTTAACTCGGAGCAACGGTCCTCGATTACTTCCATTCAATTCGACACGATATCGCGAGTCGAGCACGATAATGCGAACAAAAAGTGGAAACTCGCAGAGTTTCTTTCAAGTCGAACAGAAAGGAATGTGTCCGTTATTACAGCTGACTCAACTGCATACGATGCGTGCTTCGTGTCGCATCACGTGTGACTTAGCAACGTACCGAAAATTTCACAATGTACGCGTTTTTAAGAATTGACTAAGTACACGTGACAGAAGGTCGCGGATCCGTTTTGCTAGCTTGGATTTGCAAAAAGTCAACATTTCCGTCGGAATTTCAAGTCGGAACATTTTCACTTTCCACGAGTTTGCTGATGAAACAAAAGAAAAAGATCTATGGTCGAAACCCGACCCAGCACAAAAGCGCGCAGCGTGTGCCATTGGTTCAAGCAATGAACTCCATGTTTTCGATGCATCGCGACGAACACCGGAGTGTCTCGATCATGCGTTTTGTTCCTGGCGACCGTGAGGTCCGTGAAAAATGAAACGCTTCATTGACGAATATCGAATGCTTCGGCGAAACTTTTCACTTTTCACGAGTTTGCACCAAGAAAGAAAATACATGCTCGATACTTCTCGGTATGAACGCGAAAAAAGAACATCGCGTTTGTTCTCGCGCTAGAACGCGAAAAATCATCGACTATTCCCCGGCAGATCGCGGGCTTCGTTTTCGCTGGGAACACGCAACAAAAGCAGCGATCCTCGATTCGAATTCGAAGACGCTCGGAGTTTATGCTCTAGGCTCGGTTGTTCCAGCTTCTTGGTAAGTTAACTGATAGTTGAGTCATACGTTTGTGTCTCTGTTTTTCCTTCAGCTTAGACAAAGACAGACATATGATTCCAACTATCAGTTAATTTACCAAAAGGTCGGATTTACCAAATCGGCGCTTATTGCGCCGCGACGGCTGACTAACCTCTACGTCCCCAGCGAAGTCCAGCGAAGATTAAACCGGCCCGGAAGAGACCAGATCCAAAGCACGAATCGATCTTGGGTGATGACCGAGACGCGTGGAGCGCGATAACAGGTGATGGCGACCTTGAACGACGTTGTTTGTTTCACTAATAATCAGAACCGCCACTTGAGTATTTAAGACGCCTTTAAATTGCGCGGTTTTCAGCGAATAAACGAGTCACTGGTTGGCGGCACGGCGCCGCGCATGCGCCACGTCGAGCCTATCGATATATCGCAAGTCGCGACTCTCGCTTGTGGACAGTTACGCGCTGCTAATGGCGGTATAGGACGTGTTCGAGTTCCTCGCGTGCGTGTTTCGCGTTCCTCGCGACTTCAGTTCGCTGGACGATGAGTTTCGCGAGTTCTCTCCTCCGGGAGTGCCGAGAGAGTCTCGTACGTGTTGCGGCGAAGCATCGGCCGATAATCGTCGGGAGAATGAACGTCTCGCGGAGCGTGGACGGTTTGGCTTCACGTGACGCTCAGCCGAAATCACCACGTCCCAGTCGCCGGAGAAGGTCATCGCTCGCGGAGGAGCATCGAAAGTGCCGGAATAGTTTACGTGCGTGCGTTGCGGATATCGAGATCGTTGAAAATCAGCGTGAAGTATGAATGTCTCGGCAAAATGTCCGTCGGTAAGTCATGAAGTTCGGTAAGTCGTGAAGTTCGCCGCCAGTGCGCTCGCTGTTTCGAGAATCGCAATCGCCGCGATATTTATATTTACCGGTCAGTCGCTCAGTTGCGGGATGGCCGACGGTTTGGAGTGAAAGAATCGCGTCCGCGTATTATATTCTTCGCGGTTCTTCCAGCATAAAGTGAGTCTCGTGCGGCGACAAAGTGTTGACGATGAAAATCTTCTAAAGTGAATCTCGTGCGGCGGAACTGAGTAAAATGTCGCGCATCCACGCGGCCGCGCAACGGCAGCTTGAAATTCGTTTGAACCGCAATCGCGCGTGAAGTGAGATGGTGCCGGCAGCGTCGAAAGTGAACTCTTCTCGCGTGTGTCATGTTGCTGTGGTGATCTTCGTCGTTGCAGCGAGTGGACGACCGGGCCGTCGAGGATGCCGAGCCGAGTGAAACGCTGTTCATCCGCCAGGCTTCAACGCCCTTTGAGTCGCCATGAGAAGAATACGTGAGTACCGATAGAACGACGTATAGCGTACTTTTCATGACTTTCGCGAATCATACGAGCCGATCGCGGATCGGCTTGACGACGTTGCGACGTCGATAGAACCTAACCTAACCTAACTTAACCTAACCTAACTGCCAAGCGATGATCTTCGGTAATATCCTATCAGCAAAAACCGTGACGGTAGAACGTATGCGGTTGTTTTATGCTTGTTTCTGCTGCTGCCAATTAAACCCCGAGAGAGAAGTTTAAACCAAAGTTGACAGTTGCTGAAAGCGGCTGAAAGTTCCCCGTCTAACGGGCCGCACTCCATATTCGATTCAAACATTGCGCGCGTTGTGCCACTCTCAACGTACTTGGCGAAATGTCCCGTCAGATGGCGGGATGTTCAACAGCGGACGCCACGTAACGTCAGCTGTCGCTCTCTCTTTCTCTCTCTCTCTCTCTCTCTCTCTCTCTCTTTCCCTCCCTTCCCCCCACCTCCTCCAGTTGATCCGCGGTGGTGTGTGGTACTGTATCGCTTCTGATAGCAGTGTACACGGATCGTGATCCGCAATACATAATAACAGTGCCGCCATCAGTAACCAGCCGCGACAGTAGCGAGCAGTTGCGATATAGACCTGCGTTTCGCGTTTATCACCGTCGCTCTCTCTTCGCTCGCCTTCTTCTTATTCGTATACACGGACGCAGCAAGAGTCTGCCGTTACGCGAGGGACCAGTGCGCTCCGCGGAATGCGGCATTGTCCTCTTCGCCGTGATGCAGCGCGTTCGGCAGTGACACGCGTCGCGCATCGATTTCGATAACCTAGGCCGGAAGAGACTGATCGAGAGCGAGGCAGGGACTGTGACTTTGGTGGCGCGAAGCGAGTCGCTTGAAAAAGAGAGAGCGGAGCATTTTTCGCGTGTGAAGGAGTAAGAGAGAGAGAGAGAGAGAGAGAGGGACAGAGAGAAAAAGAGAGAACGCACACCGCGGATACGTTCCTTGGCAGTGACCGAGAGTGTCCCGGTTCCGTGCGTCAAAGGTGCAGTGCGTACAAGTGCTCATCCGCTCGGAACGTCGTGTGTCGTCTGTCGTCGTCGTCGTCGTCGTCGTTGTCGTTGTCGTCGTTGTTGTCGTCGTCGTCGTCGTCGTCATCATCATCATCGTCGGCATCATCCCGTCATGGACAGGAAGGAGAAGAAGCACAAGGAGAAAAGGAGGTGAGTGAACGGAGACGCCTTCATTCGCGACGGATTCCGTATGGAGTCGTTTGTCGTTGGTTCTAGACGCGACAAATCTTTCCGTCGGCGCTCGATTCGTAATAATATCGCTCGTATAACGTGAAATCAGCCGAGCGTGGAGGCACCCAGAGAAAATGATACAGAGTGTCAGTGTGAGAGAAAGAGAGGGGGCGAGCGAACGATCGAGCGAGAGAAAGAGAGGGAGGGAGGAAGGGAGGGGGGAGAGAGAGAGAGAGACAGACTGACTGACACAAAGAGAGAGAGAGAGATAGAGAGCGGCGGGCACGCGCGCGCGTGCTTGACGCAATCGCTCCGTTTTGATGTCGCGTCGTTTCTCTCTAATTGCTGTTTTCCGTCTTGCTCACTCGTTCACTTGCTCATTTGCTCTCGCTCGGCGCCCTGTCGCCATCTCGCTCTAGCGCCACGTAATATCCGTCCACTCTCTTCGTCGCTCCCGTCCCCCCCCCTCTCTCTCTCTCTCTCTCTCTCTCTCTGTCTCTTTTTCTGTCTCTGCCTCGCTCTCTCCTTTTCGCGCACGCACTTTATCGGGAGTCTTTATCGCTTATACTTATTGTTCTGCTCTCTTTCTTTCTCTTCGTTAACTGACCGCTTTAAATTGAACTAATGTCAATAAAATCCTTCCGCTTCATTTTCGGCTCGGCCTCGCGTCGCTAAAACGACGAAGTGTCTCGGGCTCCCGTCGTTATCCTTGTTGAATGTGTTGCTCGATTTTCGAATTATTTATGATGCCAGAGTTGCTCCAGTTTCCTTTTCGCACCGTGACGATCGATCTCGAAGGATATTTTACTTCATTAGCTTCTCTTAGCGTATCTGATCGTTTTCAAGTTTACAGTTATGTTAAGTTTGCAGTAATTGACATTACGGTCTGTTATTATTATTATCGTTTAGCGTATAGTTATTGGTTTATAATAATCATATTGTTTTTGTTTCACCTGCCGCAAAGCTTGCTTGAGAATGAGTTGCTCGAGACTTTTTTGTGGAAACACCAAAAATGCCAGAGAGATATTCGTGCTTATTTATCG